TATTCTTTAAATGGAAAGTTAATAAGATGACTCATTGGACCGCAACAGTATCTATTAAATTGATTCCAAAATTTAAAGGACCCTATAGGGTATCAAAGATTTTAGAAAACGATCGGTACTTAGTTGAGGACGTAGAAGGGTTTCAACAAACCCAAATTCCGTATAAAGGTACTTGGTCAGTCACAAACTTGAAACCGTGGTATCAAGGTAAAAAGCACAAAAGTAAAGAAAAGGGGATTGAAACAAAGATTGTAACAAAGAAAAGTTAGATACAAATTGTAGAATCAGGAGATTCTATGTGTCAGGACGGCCGAGTTGTAGGACGTGCACACATGTAATTATATTGTAAATACCTTGTAATATACTGCGTTATACCATATCAAGTAACTAGACCTTAAGCATCGTGTAACTAGACCTTAAGCTATTATGCATTTATCGATAACTTTGTATCATGAGGATCCATTTTGAAATAAAAGCAAGCGTCATTGTACAGAAAGTCACCGTCGAGGAAAGTCGACTAAAACCATTGGTGTTTAATTTTATTGAGAAAGCCTATTGATATTTCAATACATAAATATATTTAATATGAAATTGAAATTTTCACATCAATTTGCGCTATCTTCAAACCCATGGTTTCAATTGTACGCATATCGTCAGGGTTTTCCCCACAACTTGGTTTTGCTGCAGTGAAGCGACAGAACAAGTGACGAAAAAAAATATATGCGGACACTTATATGTATATGTATCTATGCACATACGTATCTATGCACATAGTATGTATCTATGCACATACGTATCTATGTATGCACATACGTATCTATGCACATACATGCATATGTGCTTAGGTATGTATATTAGCATTTTAGTTGAAAGTACGTTTTGCTCGTCGCTCTCTTCATCGCTCCACTACAATCCTGTCCTTAATTTTATTCAGATACCACAAATGCACGATCCATAAAATTCTTCTATCATTCTTGCCACAAATGTATGTTTTCTTCGAAAATACTCAAGTACTACCAGTAGAGTACTCTACTGTCAAATACCTTTTACTCGCAGTAGTTGCGGAAGGCAAAGTAAATACTCTACGCGTCTTGCTATTGATCGGTAGTTTACGTACGCTTGCAGAAACTGGTTTATGCTTACTCACACTTGACCCGAACGATGAGAGTAAAGGAGGGAAAGTATTTGCGCGGCGATCGGATGTCTTGTTAGGCCCTTTAAATGGAATCGCGCAGGAGTTTAATATATATCCATATACTACGTATAATTATATGCATAGGCATGCCTTTATAGCATACTCAAACTCACTCACCCCATCACTTATTCGTTGCCGCCCTCTTCGTTGTTGTTGCTGTTGAAGTATTTCCTGCTGTTGTTCTTGTACCTACAGCTGCAGCAGCAGTTATTGATGTGTTCGCAAGCAAACTATAAGCTCCGCCAACTGCAGACTGTGTAACTTGTCCCGACGAAGGGGATGTGCCAGAGTTGGTCGTACTGGTAAAATGCGCAGGTGTAAATGGTGGTGGCACTGTATTCGGTGGAATACTTAGTTGAAATCCATTGTGGTATATAAGATAGTAGGTGGCTTGGGTGGGAGTGCTAGATGGTGAAGTCACAACGGTTGAACCAGTGTCTGCTGCGGTTGCTGAGAAATTAGTGTTGGACGTTGATGCTACGATCACCTTGGAATCGTTCTGCAAATTGCTTCCAGCAACAGACCCGCTGTTATTTGTTGAATTCGTCTGCCACATACCGCCCGAAGTGCACAACAAAAATTTTAATAATTAATTTGCAAGGAATTCGTACAATAAAGCGGTGGAAAGATTGCGGGAGGCACCGATCTGGTGTTTTACGCTGGCAGCAATAGCAAAGCACTTCCATATCTACTAGCTAAGCAGACACTGCATAAGGGATGATCAATCGCCAAAGCCTGCGCGAAATGTAAATTCATGTTGAAACCACGGAAACCGCAGAATCTGTGAATAAAACAAACAGAAGATAATATTGTAGGATGAAAAAAAAAAAATTTTTAATTACATACATACATACAGAATCACTTACACTTCGGGCATCTTCTCTTTATCCGTTTACAGGGCATTAATCCGTGCTGTGTGCTCAAGGCATAGGGTTGCAAATCGATGCAGGCAAGCGTCTGAAACCTAAACTAAGTATATTAAATCAAACCCTATACTACAAATTACTATTATAACAAATTCCACTATACGAACCGTTTCTCCTCGTGATAGTTTATTTCTTGAATGACATTTCAGCCATTCAGGATATTGCCATTCATGAATTAGCAATGGCGCCATCTGTTGTATTCGAGACCAAATGCTTACGTTAAGCTTGCGTCATTGGGGATTTTTACTCAATCCGTCGAACTACACAAGATCCGACAAGATGAAGCAAAAGAAAAAAAGTAATTTTCTGGCTGACGTTGGTAATTCGACGCCATGTTATTTTCTTTTAAAAGTAAACAAAGAATATGAAGACGAGGCATAATTTTCTCAATTGCTATCACAAAGTATGGCTTTTATGCGAATTATAAATACTGCTCTACTCGACGTTCATCAACGCACAAATGGCTGCTTCTCGACCGGTCTGTTCTAATTGGTTCATGCCTCGCAATCTCTGGAAAAATTGTACTTTAATAAATTATCTTACCATTGTGTTAGATGATTTTTGATAGGAACACCAGTTTAAAAAATGATTGCGATGCGCAAAAATACGGTAATCGACATAAGGAATATTATGATACTTCGTATCACGTTTATCGATTATTATCACCGTTCTTGTTTGATACCGCGAAAACACGTTGTAAAAATGAAACGAACTATTACTCATGTTCTGCTTTACATAAGGTTTTCGATGCGAATCAGAACAATCATTTTGCGTGAACCTTGGACGTAGCAACCACCTCAACGTTAGCGAGCGAATTATTTTGGGGTGGCAGGACCGTTTTACGATATTAACGTATCACGAATGGGAGCAAACAAGCAAAATCGATAACACCTGTCCACAATGTATCGCTTCAATATCTGAGGTGCCCATACACTTTTTATACGCTTGTACATATTATATGTAGTTCACACTATCAATTTACAGTGTGTAATCAACATTTATTTTCAAAGTATAAACTATATTTTATTTTCGGTTTTAAACTCATTTAATGCTCGCCACCCAACTGTAACCTACACACACATAAAGGCACATTATTTAGTACATAAGTACACAGTACTAGTATCGGATAACAGCAAGGGGAAAAAACATTAACCAATTTCAGACAATGACTAAATTCACTTCAAGAGGAAGAGGGCGGAGCAGCAATCACAGCGTTATCCGCTCGCATGCCGTCTATGTGATGGAAATCACCCGATCAGGCTCTGTCCAATATACCGAGTAAAATCTCCCGAAGAAAGATTGCGGGAGGCATTGTTGGGACGTTTTTGCGGCAACTGCTGGTCTATGACACACCGCGTCGATACGTGCACGAGCGAAGAGAGATGCCGTCGGTGCCATGACAAGCATCATACAACTCTGCACCTGGATGAGGAGCACCAAGCAGTCGACACGAGACCATGGAGCGTGCAAGTCGCGAGTGAGGATGAACCAGAGCACATTCTATCGGTCAATGCTTCAGACTCAGGAACAGAGACCAGGACTCTCCCACCGGACGCCGAGGAAGGCGAAGTCATTGAAACTGCAGTAGCAACCCGCACTCTTCGCTCGACTTCACGAAGGGGATCGGAAACTAGGCCCTCCCGACCCCTCTTAGCACATGAACGGCGCCGAGGATCGGAAACTCGGCCTTTCCGACCACGCCAGCCTTCACGCCGTCGCCGTGGAGCGGAAACTAGGCCTTTCCGCCCGCGGGCCAGACACTTGGATTCGGCAAATCGACGCCGCCATCAAGGTAGACTGGAGACGAGGCCTCGCCAGCTGCCTGTTGCATTCAGAGCGGGTCAGGTCCAGCCTTCAACTCACGTATTAAGGCCCGTTACATCAATATGTCCTACTGCCGTGGTCAAGGTCGAATCGCAAGGACGGCTCCATTTGATACGCGCCTTGATTGATGTGTGCTCACCGACCTCGATAATCTCAGCCGATTTAGTACGCGAACTGCGCCTTGATTTTGGTCCGCAACAGGGTTGCCTACTGCGTTTGCGCGGCAAACATGGCCAAAATAAAAGGGTAGCAGTCCATGCAAGAGTGGTGCGAAATTATATTCGGATCAGCCCCACCAGTAGCGTCGATCCCTCAATAGCGGCACCGTACACGCACATTCGACTAGCGGACCCGAACTTCCACACCTCAACGCCGATTCGCTTGGTCTTGGGAGCCGATGTATATCCCGAGATTATCCTGCCAGGGATACTCCCAAGCGCTTTTGGGCCATTCCTGGCCCAAAGCAGCATAATGGGTGGATCCTATCGGGATCGTGTCGATCCTAAATATCGAATAAATCTTTTTTTTCGTTTTTGTTTTTTTTATTTAGATAATTATATATATACACTTTCTTGAAATGAATATCAATTGTTTAATAAATGAAGTGCAATGAAATGTCAAACCATGCCTTGTTCTCTTAACCTTATTTTTCGTATCATTTCTACAGCTGTAGGAGGCGAAGATGGAAGCACGGGTGACAGCGAGGAAGTCCGACTGATCGGATGACAACCAGCTGACATTTTTACTACTTACATTCGAATTTGTAATTAGCTACTCAACGCGGTGTGATGGCTGAGTCGTAATAGATGTTACTTATAGCAAGGGGGCCGGTATGTTTAGGCCTCCACCCTAAACTCAAAATAATGCAATGGGTGTACCACCCACACACATGCATGTATACATTTGCAGTATTAATAACCCACAATGTTGGCCGTTAGTATCATTTATACACACATGCAAGTATACATTTGCATGTATTAATAACCCACAATGTTGGCCGTTAGTAATACTTCCCGCCATATTAACTTTCGTTAAGTTACCCCTCCAAACAGTTTTACTGCTTAGAGGTTGAACTTAATTTCGTAAAAAGGAGATCGGTCACTTCTTTTCTGGAGATCAACAGAGGACGACTATCAGCCATCACCCGACGTCATAAGCGATTGAGGTAAAAGTCAATTTTCTAATCCGATATTTGTGTATACATAGCAAAAAATATATATACATACTTTGTAATAAACGAATTACATTTTATACGGAAGACTAATTCCCGTCTTTATTTATTTTCACCATATTTCTAACACGACATCGGTGCAACAAACTGCGAACCATTGAGCTATCAAGTACGCAGTCGTTGCAGCGTTGCACACTCTCCGACATGAGGTTTATATGGCCAAATTAGTCTTTCTACGTAGAAATTCGAAGGCAGACACTTACATGGCAGGAATATGATTGGATATAATTGTACATACATATTTCTAAAACCTCTGATTCTGAACTTTGCCGCCTCATTAATATTTGCCAAGTTACTCATGCGACCATCCCGCCTTTTAAATTCCTTGGCTGCTCACAAAATTCTGACACCCAGAAACCCATTAAATTGATTTTTTATTTGATTGTGTTTATGGGGATGACCCATACCATATACGTTGAAAATCAACTAAGTCAAATCCGTCGGTACAGGGAATATATACCTCACTAAACTACGAAATCGATCGAGTGGAAGATTGACCTATCTCGGTGCCCTATCTCAAAAAGCTTTTCAAAAACACCTTACTTCAGAATTTTATTGAAGAAAGCCCTATCTCAGCACACTTTCAATGTATTTTCAGCCGAGATAGGACATTTTTGAACCGAATTCTGAGACAGGGTATTTTCCAATAAAATTCAGAAATAAGGCGTTCTTCAATCAAAATCTGAATTAGGGGGTTCCTGAAAAGTTTTCTCAGATAAAGCGTTTTCCAACTGGCTGCCGAGATAGGTCAATCTTCCACCCAGGTGTAGATATAGACTCCTATTGCGGGCGAGAAATCATAATTATTTACCTCATAGTTCAACTCTTAGTCGATCAAGGAATTCTTTAACAATTAAACGTTCCTAATGACCTTATGTTAATGAAGACGCCACAAGATCGATTAAAAATTTCTTTCACTCACCTGTCATCTTCTCCTCCGCGCCCGTCACTGCTGTCGCATTCGCTGCCGTTCCCAGTCTCGACGATAGATTGTGCAATTCAATCTTCTTTGTTTTCGCTATATTACCGAAGATATCCACGCTGGCGCCACTTCCGCTACCCGCTGGCGCACCATCTTGTGGCGTCACTGTTGCCGCGCTGCCGCTACTCCCGCTGCTACTCAGCACTTGCGCCAACTTCTTGCCCAATTGCAAAGCCATTTGCTCATCCGGACTATCCCATTCGAGTTCCGGACTCGTATCAGGCACCAATTCCAAATATGTCGTTTGTGAGACTGACAAATGTGCTACCTTATCGGCGCGATGTCTTCGCTGGAGCTCGTGCACTGCGCGCGCTGTTGTCGGCGATAGAATGCCCGAGGTGTCGGCTGATGTTATGCTGATCTCACTGATCGGTCGTTCTTTGATAAGCGTTGGTAGATCGTTGAGACCTCGCGCTGCCAAACGATTGTATGCGCGTGAGAATCTGTCCACTTCATTTGCAGCTTCTGAACGTAGTTGTTGCTCGCCGATTCTACGCGGTGATATGGGGTCTGTAAAGAGTGAATCAGAACTAGTTGACAATTCCTGGAGTAGAAAAATATCGTAGTTTTGTTGTTGTTGATGTTGTGGCTGTTGCCGTGTAATCTGGCGACCCGAGACGAGCATGTTGTTGTACTCATCATAGATCTCCCCTTCGTCAAGTGCGTCTGCAGAGTTTTTTGTTTTTTTTTTGAGAAAAAATTGTGCCGCAGCAGCGAAATTGAGGTGATAAGAAGAGCGAAATATTAGAGAGAAAATAAATATTTTTACATTTGCTTTAAGGTATCGTAGTAGAGTGAAGCAATGGAAGGGGGATGCGGATGCGCTGAGTTAGGAAATATTTGAGAGGAGATGCTAGTTTCCGGTGAGGCAGTAGGTAATGATTTTTCTGATTGAATTTCTAATTGATTTTCTAAGAATCTAAAGCGTTCTTCTAGAAAGATGTTATAATAAGAATACTAGTGCAGCTATCTAAAAAAAAGCTTTCTAAAAAATGCTAATACACAATTTAATACTGATTATTTTTCGTTTTGTTTAATGCGTCCAGTGGAGTATATATAACTAGGTTTTTTGATATTTGAAATCATACGATATTTTAAGTACTTTGAAGATGAAAAAATTAAAAGAAAAGAGTTAAAACGCGGAGTTCTGACTCCGAAGTTTTCGCCATTAAGTACTCGCATCAACCGCTCTAATAGCTGCTACTCCTGGAACTATTTCTGCCACTAGGAAAGATACCTTTCCTTAAAGATGTGGGATATCTGTGAGTTATTCTTGATGAAATCCTCTTTTAGAATCTGCGCCTATATAAAACTATTCAAAAGATCAGCACCGCCACTTTTTGCCTGACGGAAGGTAATGGGGAGTTATGGCTATTCCAACATCCGCCGCACTTGTCCGGTGAAAGAAAACAAAAGCGAAGTCTAGCTCAGAAAACTCCCACGAATGGCACGGTCGGTACCTTCCGTTTAATAATGTATTCTCTACATAAACTGAGCCTACCGATGCGTCGAAATCACTCCAGCGGGGTAAGGAAGCGTGTCTATCCAGAGAAGAGTAAGTAAACGGCTGTTGGAGCCTCTGGTAATAAGGCGCTGTCAGCATTTAGGGCAATTTAGGAGAATTTTGAACTAGCCGTGAAGCCTCATAAAAATGAGCTCATTCTTTTCATGAAGAAATATAACCTCTAACATTGGCATTCCACTTATACTCCGAGAGAGGGTGGAGTATCTGGGCATGATCCTAGACAGAAAGTTATTCTGATATCTCAGATTCGCTTTTCAGTTTAAAAAAATTTTACTATCCTCTCTCAAGAAATTATTGACTTGTTTCTTTCGCTCCGTTAGTAATTGAACTACTGAGAGCGCTTTATGCAGAACAAAAAGTCGAGGACGTTCGTCGAGTTCCAGTCGCCTAAACTCTTCTTTTTCTTCTTCTTTTTTGGCGCTGTAACCGCCTAAGCGATTTTGGCCGAGTTCAGCAAAGCACGCCAGTCGTTTCTCCTCTGTGCCAACTGACGCCAATTGGAAACGCCAAGTGAAGCCAAGTCCTTCTCCACCTGATCTTTCCATCGCAGTGGGGGCCTCCCTCTTCCTCTGCTACCACCAGCGGGTTCCGAGTTGAATACTTTCAGGGCTGGAGCGTCGGTGTCCATTCGAACGACATGGCCAAGCCAGCGGAGCCGCTGTATTTTAATTCGCTGCACTATGTCTATGTCGTTGTAAAGCTCATACAGCTCATCGTTCCATCGTCTGCGGTACTCGCCGTCGCCAACGCGTAAAGGACCGTAAATCTTCCGCAAAATCTTTCTCTCAAACACCCCAAGAGCCGCCTCATCGGATGTTGTCATTGTCCATGCTTCTGCGCCATATACCAGCACGGGCATGATGAGTGACTTATAGAGCGTGGTTTTCGTACGTCGAGAGAGGACTTTACTCCTGAATTGCCTACTCAGTCCTAAGTAGCACTTGTTGGCAAGAGTGATTCTACGTTGGATTTCAATGCTGACATTATTATCGGTGTTAATGCTGGTTCCCAAGTAAACGAAATTCTCTACTTTCTCGAAATTGTAACTGTCAACAGTGACGTGGGTGCCAAGGCGCGAATGTGCTGACTGTTTGTTTGATGACAGGAGATACTTCGTCTTGTCCTCGTTTACCACCAGACCCATGCGCTTTGCTTCCCTATCCAACTTGGAAAAGGCAGAACAGACTTCGCGGTTTTTGTTACCGATGATGTCGATGTCATCGGCATAAGCCAGCAATTGCACGCTCTTGTAGTAAATTGTTCCTGAGCGGTTCAGTTCTGCAGCTCTTATTATCTTCTCCAACATCAGATTAAAGAAGTCACATGAAAGGGAGTCGCCCTGTCTGAAACCCCGTTTTGTGGCGAACGGCTCGGAGAGGTCTTTTCCAATTCTGACGGAGCTGGTGGTATTGCTCAACGTCATTTTACACAGCCGTATGAGTTTTGAGGGGATGCCAAATTCAGACATAGCGGCGTATAGGCAACTCCTTTTAGTGCTGTCAAAAGCGGCTTTAAAGTCGACAAATAGGTGGTGAGTGTCGATCCTTTTCTCGCGGGTCTTTTCCAAGATTTGGCGTATTGTGAATACCTGGTCTATGGTGGATTTGCCAGGTCTAAAGCCACACTGATAAGGCCCAATCAGTTCATTGACGGTGGGCTTCAGTCTTTCGCACAATACGCTCGATAAGACCTTGTAACCTATGCTTAGAAGGCTGATCCCGCGGTAGTTGGCGCGAATGGCGGGGTCACCTTTCTTGTGGATTGGGCAGAGCACACTTAAATTCCAGTCGTCGGGCATGCGTTCATCTGACCATATTCTGCACAAGAGTTGATGCATGCACCTTATCAACTCCTCGCCGCCGTACTTGAATAGCTCAGCTGGCAGGCTGTCAGCTCCAGCGGCTTTGTTGTTTTTCAGCCGCGTTATTGCTATACGTACCTCGTCATAGTCAGGCGGTGGAACGTCGACTCCGTCATCATCGACTGCGGGCTCGGGTTCTTCTTCTCCACAACTTTCTGTGCTGCTGCCATTTAGTAGGGCGGAAAAGTGTTCCCTCCATAATTTAAGTACGCTCTGGACATCAGTTACTAGGTCGCCATTATTGTTCTTACAGGAGTGCGCCCCGGTCTTTAAACCTTCCGTAAGTCGCCTAACTCTCTGGTAAAATTTTCGGGCATTCCTCCTGTCGGCCAGCATTTCAAGCTCTTCGCACTCACGTATTTCTGCCTCTCTCTTCTTGTTGCGGCAAATACGTCTCGCTTCCCTCTTCAGATCCCTATAGCGGTCCCACATAGCGCGCGTTGCGCCCGATCGCAGCGTGGCCCTGTAGGCGGCATCTTTTTTCTCTGCAGCTTCCTGACACTCCTCATCGTACCAGTTGTTCTTTCGGGCTCGCTGAAATCCGACTACTTCTTCGGCGGCGGTACTTAATGAGCGGGAAATGTGGTTCCACTGCTCGCATATGTCGGTTTGTTGAAGAGTGCTCTCTGAGAGCAGGTGTGAGAGTCGAGTAGCGAAAGCGCTGGCTGTCTGTTGTGATTGCAGCTTTTCGACGTTAAGCTTTCCTTGCATATTTGGGCGCACATTTTTTGCTGCACATAGGCGGGTGCGTATCTTGGCTGCAACAAGATAGTGGTCCGAGTCGATGTTTGGGCCTCGGAGTGTGCGTACGTCTAAAACACTGGAAGCGTGCCTTCCGTCTATCACAACATGATCGATTTGGTTTCTCGTTTTTCGATCCGGAGACAGCCAGGTAGCTTGATGGATCTTTTTATGCTTGAACCTAGTACTGCATACTACCATGTTTCGGGCCCCGGCGAAGTCGATCAGCCTCAATCCGTTGTCGGACGTTTCGTCGTGGAGGCTGAATTTTCCGACGGTGGTTCCAAAGATCCCTTCTTTGCCCACCCTGGCATTGAAGTCGCCAAGCACGATTTTGATATCATGACGGGGGCAGCGCTCGTACGTGCGCTCCAAGCGCTCATAGAAGAGATCCTTGGATGCCTCATCCTTCTCTTCCGTCGGGGCATGGGCGCAGATGAGCGAGATGTTGAAGAATCTCGCTTTGATGCGGATTGTGGCTAGACGCTCGTCCACCGGGGTGAACGACAGTACTCGGCGACGGAGTCTCTCTCCCACCACAAATCCAACTCCGAATTTGCGCTCCTTTACATGGCAGCTGTAGTAGACGTCGCAAGGCCCCAGACATTCTTTGCCTTGCCCCGTCCAACGCATTTCTTGGATGGCGGTGATGTCAGCTTTTGTCCTTACGAGGACATCAACCAGCCGGGCAGAGGCACCTTCCCCATTAAGGGTCCGGACATTCCAGGTGCATGCCCTCAAATCGTAGTCCTTTAAACATTTGCCGTGGTCGTCATCATAAGGGGGGGTCTCATCCGAGGCTTTGCCTTGCTTCTTCACTGGAAGTGGTTTTTACGTGGCGGGTCCCAAGCCCAGCGCACAACCCATTGCTGGGACGGGGGTGGTTTCGCAACCAAATACACGTTTATATAGCGAGCCGCTTGCTCCAAGCAGACACCCGCTTGCAGCCGCACCTACTGGTGAACAGACGCTGCAGACTTCAGTGAGCCCTTAAACCGAATAAGTCAGAGTGGCCCCACCGAAGCTCCCTCTCTTTCTGCCGTGACCCAAGGCTCCACTCGGATTGGTTACCGCATCTCGCACATGGGTTGCTCACGTTGCCCAGAGTGCGCGAACGAGGACGCAAGAGTCGGGATTGAGTATAGCCATGCAACTGTAACTGCATACCCAGCGCAATGACTATACCCCATTGCACTAAACTAGGGATGCCCAAATCAGCACATATGTGTCGCGGGCGACTGCGCGTGCAAAGCTTTGCACAGCGGTGCTGGGCAAGCGCGGAAGCAAAAAGTTATCGGAAGGGGAAAACGAAGTCAACAGAATAGTGAGATTGTGTGTGTGACAGTGATGGAAAATGAGTGTGCATTGTGCCATTTTCGGCCC